CTACATAAATGTCTCAATATATTAACTAGACAATAAACAACCTATTCAATTCCAGGGATTTGCATGAGAAACGTGAGCATTAGTGAACAGAGACAAGTCTTTTGCCTTTTAGCTGAAGGGAAAGGATGACTTCAAACATGATCCTTTGTCAGACGGGATGGGAGACACAGACACACAAGTCTCTCCGTTTTGGCAGATCTGGGCTCATAATGCCATAGATTAGTAACAGCCTGACCACAGAGCTGAAATAAGCTAATTGCTTAATTAGCTGACCCAATTCTATAAGCTTCTTTTAGCATATTAACAAGAGCTATGTAACAAATACTTGTGTTTCACAGAGGTGGTGTTTATGGAATTACAATAATTAGGATCAAATACGAAACATACGGTCAATGGCACTCCTTTTGTGGAATCTCTGCTTTGGAAAATCAAAGCATTATTTGATTTCAGCCATACTGAGACACTTTTATATATGTACAACTCAATCCAGCCTTTGTCTTATCCTTACATACATGCAAATGATCCTGGTGCTTATTTGTAATTGACATGAATTTTACATCTCCTAATCTTCTATGTTTTTGTGTGTATGTTGTTGTTTTGGTTTTTTTACGTTAAACAATTAAGCTGCTACGGGGGAATAGTTTGACCGCCCTCTCAATATTTCTGGACATTCGAGCAACAAGGGACAAATGAGAGAAGGGAGAGAAAAAATCTTATTAGATTGAATGATGATTGAAATGGATTAATTTACATTTTTTGCATGCATACTTTACATACATGATCTTTGCTCAGCACAGGGAGTTCTGGGCAAAAGAGCACTATTTGTATGAGATGAACTCATCTATATGCTAATTCATTGGCATGTAGACCTGCTTCATTTCTTCCATTCAGGACTGTTTACCTATTAGCTCTTATAGATGCAAAGGGAATTGGAATATTAAAACCAAAAAGCTAAGGAATACAGAGCATTAGCAGTACATCACCTGTTATTATATTTATATTACGGTGGCATTTCTGCCCTTTGTTTAAGCTGTAACCACAAGCCAACTTCCAAGACACTTATTACAAATAAAATAAGCCAACACCGTCTCTTAAGTGAGACTTGTTGCCCCTGACAAAGGCACAGTGGGTTTTCAGAGGTCCTTCAAAAAGACTAGAGCAGACTACACCCTGCTGAAAACCATATGAGCTCTCCTGATTCAAATGAGGAATGATCTAATGTTCAAAGACACAAAACAACTTAGACTGTTTAGCATTTCACAATGTTCTTTTGTGCCTCAGAATAGAATTCATAACATTACAGAGCACAAAACCTGAATTTAATGTTGCATAGAAACACTAACTTGGCCTTATAAGGAGATGTTTGACAGATCAAGTTACAAGTGATGCCTAAATGCTAATGTAATTTCATATGAACCAGGCTAAAAGAGATGCAATCAACCAGTCCTGATTCAGATGACTGTTGTGTTTAAGAGGATGACAACCCCCTTTCTTATTGTCTATGTAATTCACCAAAATTGCCACTTACAGCCGCTAAGAGCAGGACGTTTCATCTCCAAGCTTCCTCTGGTCTTTGCTACTCATCCCATTTCTACTTCCTCCAAAAGTGCCACCACTTCATTAACCTTGCCAGGCATGAGATAAGAGAAGCAGTGCATCAAAGCTGCCTGCCCACAGAGAGAACAGAGCCCTGCATGTCTCCACTACACAGCAGTCTTCACACACACTGACAGATACACAGTCCACAACCCATCCAACATGCAGAAAAGACCTTTTGTGTTCCAAACTGTCATTCAGATTATTTTTTTTATTTTTTATTTTTTGTGCACTGGACATCATCATGTTTTAAATATAATTCTAAATGGGGTGAAAACATTTGCTTGTTCCAAAGGTTTTAAGGGACTTTGATTGGGAAGGAATGCAAAATAATTGGCCTGGGTCAGACTCTTCATTGCCTTAGAAACTGTAGACACTTATTTAAGGTGTCTCATCGCAGCACTGTAAGAGTTCAGGTACACAGCACTGTCATCACTATGACCTATACACTTAAAACCTTGAAAATGAGAAAATTAAACAAGAAAAGCATCAAAGCCAACTTCAGCCCGATGAGTAACAACTCCTGACTTCCTCAAAGCATGAAAGTAGATGGTAGGAAATGTATTAACTGAGTCACAATATTGTTTTACTTGCACCACATACAAATCTCTCTGGTGCATTTAATCCCTCTACCCACAGTTTCTCAGAAAGGAGGATATAAATTATTTTCCTTTGGTGGAAACTGCAAATCCCTGTCTGGATTCTGTTAAAAGGCTTAAAATGTCACTAAATGCCAAGGCTGAGACTCCTGCTAACACGTAGGTCTTTAAGACAAGATGTTAAAGCGTTGAAAGTTACCTGAAATTGATGAGGTTAATATTCTTATCACTAACTGAGGCTTCTGTGAAAGTGGATATTGAAAATAGCCAGGTAACCCTTCATATTAGAGGCTATCAGAAGGATTAGCAGCATAAACACCAATTACACATTTAATTGTTTATTGTCAGAAGTATTTAGAAAACATGCTACAGTGCATAAATTAAAAGGATTGGGATGTGTGTGTGTGTGTGTGTGTGTGGTGTGGTGTGTGTGTGGGGGGATTTGCTACAATATAGAATCCTCATAAGTATGTATTTCAGTGAAGAAGACAAGGAAATGTCCCTAAAATAACAAGTCAAACTGCTGAATGCTGGGTTGTAAATGAGTAATTTACCATGAATATCCTTCTTTATCCCTTTACGACGATATGAATTTCCCAACCACGTTATACTAGCACGGAAGACTGTCACTAAAATTTGAAATAGAGGACAAAGGGCCACCGAGCAAATAGGTTTTTTAGACACCATCCTCTGAGTTCTCTGCCAATGTGAATCAGAGGTAAAATACAGTGCATTAAGTCGACCTCTGAGGCAGCACAGAGGAGGGTAGAGTGAGACATTCTGCTATCTATTAAGACTTGCGTTATGTATATATTGTGTTTTGAAGGAATTTTACTGATCCACAAAACCAGCAGGAAAAGGATAAGAGTGAGTCCCTAAGACCATGTGGTAAGCAACTGCAGTGCAGAATCTCAGGCAAGTTTAAAGTTGCTGTGCCGTTAAGGAGAAAGTCTGGCAGAATCCTGCATGCCCGCTGATAACATGGTTGGATTAAGGATGTTTAAGGGAAGTGAAAATTATTCATTTGAGATGGATGAAAGCTGCACTTGTCAAGTCTACCAGTCATGCACTTTATACATTTCATTTCCACTAGCCAGCATGCATAATTTCCCCTCAATGCAAATTTCTACACACTGAAAATTGTGAGCATATTTACCCCGCTCCCTTAACACATTCTCTGACACAGAAAATGGATCATCTCTATTGAACAGGGAACAAAACAATGCAATTTTGTTTGCAGAGGTTTGAGAATCTAATTTTGTGCAGGGGGATAAAGTCACAAGACTCTGTAGAATACGAACAATAGCTTTCATTTGAAATCATGCCTGAATCAAAAAGAGAAAACGTAGCCCTGCTCATCAGAATGACATCTATGGCAATCATTTTAGCACATGCCCAATTATCCAAACAGACTTCATGTTTTGAGTGTAATTACTAATTTTAAGTCACAAAAGTCTCGGCCTCACTGTTGGTCTAGGAGCCTTGTAACTGAGTATATGTACTGTATATCTGTCTCTCTATACAAATATTATGATCTCTCTGATGAGAATTAAGTCTCCAGCCTGGATGGCCAATAAATTAGAGGCACGCTTCTCGTTTACTCATCAGAGCTAATGAGCCTGATAAAATTACCTCGAGGATCATAATTACAGGCTAGTGGCAGAGACTCTGGCAGGGACTGGAATAAGACGACACACACACACACACACACACACACACACACACAGACACACACAGAATTTAGATTGTGTTGCAAGTGGCAGCATACAAGAGCTAACCTAAAACATCACAAAGCACTCACGTCTTATTAATAGAATAACAGACTAATATCAGTGTGCGCAAGCAACGATTATACATTGTACATTTTCATCAGGAAGCCTAAACAATCCAGCTAATGAGACACATAGAAACCTATACTGTTTGACACCATCACATTTAGAAAATGTACAGGATGAACATAATGTAAGGTGCTGAACAATATTACAATTTCCACCTTTCTGTCAAAGCAGTTCAAACTGATTTTACCACCCTTTCATAAAGATTAAGCACTTCATGGGTAATGGCATATTTTAATGAACGATGGCAGCCTGGACACAAGAGCTCACCTCAGAGGATTCCATTTCATCACACATTCACAGGATGAATTGTTTTACTTATGAATATTAATGTCCCTCTAATTTGAGGCTGTTGTTAATGCTTGTCGCTAGGAGCTTGGCAAATCAGGTCCCATTCCTGTTAAAACCATGTATTAGACACCCCCCTGACACTAAGCCCTCGCCTTTGATTCTTAATTGCAGAAGTGCAAGCATTTGCAGTAGATGGGGCGCAAAGCTTTAATTAACTCTAATATCACACATTCAGTCTCGACTGTCACCCACATCACGCATGGCATTTTGTACCAATATCATCCCCAACTCTGCTCATCTAGAAAGATTGTGTTCCAAGTTCATGATCACAATTTCATGCATCTCAAAATGAGGGATATGTAGTTTATAAGTAGCTGCAATATATTGACGCCAGTGAATTATCTTAATGCCATCCTTACAAAAAAAAAACCCTTATTAAAAAGGCATACATTGATGCAGCTCTGTGATTACTGCACAGCTTTAATGCAAAGGAGTCACAGCATTGTTGGTTTCTAACTGAAAGCAACGTCTGATCTTGGCAGTCGCTGAATCAACAGTCATTTGTGAAGCTTGTAACATGGGAAGTGGAGTGATAAAAAGTTCAGTGATGTGTTTAAATAGAAAGATGTGTGCCAAAGGAAGCTGTTATTAAGTAAATAATTCGTCCTCTCATACACACTAATCTTCAAAGGATTTATTGGACAACAGATTTCAAGTTTAAAAATACTATAAATAGAGTAAAAGTACATACCATTAAATAACACTTGCAACATTACAGTACATTCCTTATAAACACTGGGAATGCCATTTTCACACATGAGAGACTCCACATGTCGTTTGAACATTTTAATAGCTCAGGTACGGAGCATTTCTGATGCAGATATTAGTAAAGAGTAATGTTTAATTAAACCCGGTTTGAAGATAAAGAGCTCAATACAACCTATAGTTTATAAGCCTTCCCTGGCCATAAGCTACTGCTCTACCTAATCCTCTTTCACATAACATTATTGCATCAGCACAGCTGAACATTTTTGCAGCATTTATAAAATTAGCAAAGAAATTAACTGTCCGTACTGTGGCAAATTGGATTTCCAAGTTCTTGCCTTGTGATACAGCATACCCAGGCTGCCACCTACAGTACAGTGTGAGAGAGGAACTACAGTCTGCAACAAGGCAGTTCAACATGTGTGGCTCTCCATTTTCCACTCCACAGCCATTCAAAACTTAATTGTCAAGGCTTTTTCTCCTGCTAATATCCTTACGGGAAATTTGTTAAAATCCATTATTAAATAAACACTGAAATAATTTCATTTTGGATCAAGACTGTTGAAGGATTATACATCCATTCTGTTCATTCCTATTTGAATGTGGAACAGCTATGTTCCCTATGTAATTAATAAAACATGATAATTTCTGTTTTTAGCTCCCACATCCAATTTTTTTGACCCTGTGTTGATTTGCTAAAATTATTAGATACATCACTCAACAGTATCTTTACCTAACACACATAAATAAATTATGCAATTTCTTCTTGTGACACTCATCTACTGCGGTCTAATCAAACATTATAAACATAATTAAGCACCACCAACAGTGAAAAAACATTGTGAAAAAACAGGATACTCCTTGTGAAAAGAGAAAAGATTAAACTATTTTGAAATTCTCACTAAATAAGTAACAGTAAGGTTGAACAAAACTAACATTTTAACTGAACTATTATGTTGAAATATTCTGAAGCAACTAGAAACACATGACTACATGACTTGATCCATTATGCTTCTAAATTTGACATTTCTTTATTTGCCCTTCGTTATTTGCCTTCTCGTTAACACACAATGTATTGAAGAACTAAAATATAAAAACATTTAAAAAAATTAAAAATATAAGACAAGAATGCAAAGTTTAGTAAAAGTTGCCTTGAAGATCATTCCACTAGTCTTTTACTTCTTCGCCTGAACAGTTTTGAGATGGAGGATTTCCTCTTATTTTTGGCTTTCTTTACTCCTATGCACCAAAAAATATTAGATTATTAGAATGATGCATTCAAATTGGAAAATCTAATCTAAAAGAAAAGCATTTATCCAATACTTACCAAGATTTTTCATCATTTCATTCAGCTGCTGATCCTCCTCCACTTCCCTGAAATTGATCAAAAGAAAGCATTTTCTTTCATTTCTTGCAAAGCATTTTGTCTTGTTTGCATATCCAATTGTTATAATACCAGTATTACTCTATAAACATTACAGTAGTTATCACATTAAACATTAATTATAAGTTGCATTGTGTTACCTCAGCCTGTCTTCATCCAAACCCTCCACAATTGCATTTCTGCCATCCACAATCTCCATCAGTCTCTGCATCAACTTCTTCTCTCGCTGTCGCTCCTCTCTAGATTTTAAATGATCTGTGATAACAAGTTGACAGACTTTAGTGTTGGAAAAAGAACGTAACAGAGCTGAGGGTCAGTGATCTCTCACCTGGCTTCTCCAGCAGCCTGCGAAGTTCCCCCTCCACACCTGGCTGCTGCTGCTCCAACTCTTGAGTCCTGGCTCTGAAATATGCAATCATTAATAACATTTTAAAAATTAAGCAACAATCCTGAGCAAATATATTTGGTTTGACAGTTAGTAAGTTTGAATTCCTCCCAGTGTTATATAATTGTATAGGAATAATGACAACTATAACAGGTTTCACTATCAGACAGGAATATATATGAAAATATTTCAAGGTATGGCATTTTTAATATAATTAGAAATTGCTTTTATTACCACAATGTAAAAGACGGACTGTTGTAAAAGTCTTTCTGAGGTAAACAATTACAACCAGAATTGAAAGCAAACTACCAAATTAGTTCAGATACAATCACGGATGATTAATGATCAATTAACAATTTCACTGTGAATCCGCCCTTCAAGTTAAGTTAAGCTGTAAAACAAGTAGTACTCACGTGTATACAAGCTCTGATTCCTTTCTAATGTACATCTGCTTTTTTCGAATGAGATTGAACCAGTCAACCATCAGTGGGTCCATCAATATGTCCCCCTTCCCCTCTGAAAGACATAAGTTTAAAACTATGTTTGTGATACACAAGATAATATTCATGACACAGTATAATAGTCATCAATAGGGGTCATGGTATAATGTATAAACACTGATGTGTACATATTGGGTAAAGGTTCATGAATCAATCATGATCTGTAGATTTAAAGTACTCAACAGCACATAAAATCCAGACACTCTTTAAATACATTGCATTAATTATCTACTCTGGCTAGCTAAATGTTTCTGATTAATGAGTAAATAAAATAAATCAAATTAAAGTAAAAGAAGGAGTTCAGACAGCTCTGCGCTCTTCTGATGTCAAATAACGCAGTGGCTGAGATTAAACAGCTGGAGAATAATTCTGTTTTCACATTATATATTTTGGTTATTTATAAAAAATAAAGAATAAACTTTTAAAAAAAATAAATTTTACATCATCCTATTTAATATAACAACCAAGAAGCCTCCCCTCAACCAGAATCATGGCTCATTTTATTTTCACCAGATCACCTCTTTGTTTTCATAGGACTGTAGTTATACAATAATACAATTAAGTGGGATATCAAATTAGGTTTTTGGATAATTTGGCTGGTACGGATCAGCAGGGTTCAGGTTTGTTGAGATGGAGGGTGACTCACCTCCTTGGGACCATGTCAACACTTCACTTAAGGGACTGTAGCAGCAAATAATGCATAGCCCTGCAGCTCAGGCATACATTATCTTAAATCTGACATTTTAAACTTCTGAACTTGTCACATGCTGCAGAACAAAGATATGTTTAACAGTTTGGAATATAATTGCCTTCATTTACTGTTTGGTTAACATTATTAGACATCCCTGGTGTTGCATATACTTCCAATAAGATCACAACATCCCTTTATCTCACTGGGTTACATTTAATTTCTGAAACACTAAATTAGCGATAAAACAATTCCTCTATGAGATTTTGATAATCAGTTTAGTTTCTCAGCTGTGAGGATCTGTTGCTATTCTTTGTCAAATAATAAAGTAAACTCACCATTTTTGTGTTTTAGAGTTTTGATGGTTGCACAAAACAAGCATTTTTAAATGTCATCTTAGGAAATCATGAGAAATGCTCATTATAATTTCCTGACATTTCATGTAAAAAAAACGAATGTATTGAATCGGTAGATTAATCAATAATCATCAGTTGCAGCTCTGCAGTAAATACACAGGCATTGCATTGCCATCTATAATATAATTCCTTATCTAAATGCTACCCTCAAACATCGGTTTAATATGCACGCTTTAACATGCAGTGGATGTAGAGCAACACAGAGGGAATACATGATGAAGTATAGACTTGTCTTCATCACTTATTTAATAATGATTTAGCAAAAAAATCCAGTGGGGATTGGCTCTCCTTTTCTTATTTATTTTTTTTAAATAGGTTTTGGACTCTAAAAGGAAAAGATTATGCTCAAAGTCCCTGCCAAATACTGAACACCAGAAGCACAGCAAAGCTGTGTGTGACAAAGACAGTGATTAATATATAAATCTGAAATGTTAATGGCGGTTTTAATATGTTCCTAAAGCAGTATGTTTATGGTTTAGGGATTCCTTTGGTCCACCACAGTATTATGATATGCACTGCAACATTGCACGCAATTTCTGCTTGACAAAGTAAGACTGTATTACCTAAATAGATGGATCAATAGATATTTGACAATCCCAAATCAGTGACAAAACACACACCAAAGCCACATTTACAATAATAACTGATTGGGACAGGGACTGAGGACAAGGCAGTCTAGATCCTGCCATTACCAGAGCAAATGTGATTTTATTCTGAACTGAACTAGAGTGCCAGGGTTTAGTTTTTACAACGACAAAATTCCAGTTGGGAAGTTGATGATCTCCTAGGTGGTGTGCAATTGATGTCAAATTCTGGCCAAGCAATTGCATGCTCAGGCTTCCTGGGTGGTGCATAGGAAAGAAAGTACGCAATCGACCAGAATATATATTACTATACCCAAGTCATGTTGACCTTGAGCAAAGCAATCAGGCCCCCTACTCCCACTACCTCAAAAGAGAAGCAACATCCCTGTGGGCCGTCTGTGCCTCTCACCTCATTTGGCTGCAGAAACAGTAATAGAAATGGCAGGTAAATCCCTGGAACACACACACCAAGCTCCAGCTGACGATGAGTGAATGTGTGTGTGTCCTGTGTAAAGCAACCCGGACCCAACTCTGCACCAGAGACACTCTCACTGAAGCAGCAGTGGGATTCAGCAGTTTGCACAAATACAATATCAAAGTTTGTGTTGAGGTTATTCACTGCAAGAGGGCAAATTTGACTGTTGCATTGACATCCTCTGCCTCAGAATAAGTTGTTTGAGGGACTGGTCATTTTAAAAATTGCACAGATTGTTTCTGAAATGTAAACATTCAATTTTATTTACACATCTATACAAAGAAAAGGAAGGAATATTTGTTGCAGGGGTAGAGTGACAGGAAGAAAGTACCTTCCTCACAGCTGCGGAGTTTCTTTTCCAGCTCCACGCCCTCCTTCTCCAACTGAGCCAAGTTTGTCTCAATATCATTCAACTCCCTCTCAATCTGCTCCACTGGAATATGATAAGACTTCACCTGACAAAAAACAGAAGAACTTAAGAGTCACAGTAAAGTATAGATAACTTTAATTTGAAAATTCATACTTTGGCCACTTAAATGTAAAGAAGGTCGTCCATTTTTTTCCTGGGAATGTAATGAAAGCATATTTGTAGAGCTGTTAATTAATCTCTTAAGAGACTTAATGGAGGGAACTTACAGAGGGTGACCTCATTTCAGTCCTGGAGGCGTTGGTGGGTGACAAATACTTTCCCTTTTTAGCGCCTAAGAGGTAGATAAAATAGGATTAGATAGTCCTTTCATGGCAGCTTTTCAGAAAAGCATTGTCACATATGACTTCACCTGATTTATTTTCAGTGAAAAATGACTGCTCATAGGAAATCAACAAGATGGCTGAGGCCATGTATGTGTGGCTTTGATGATGATATTTTTAAATCAACCTGACGGATTTCCGTGATTGGCTGGAGCAGTCGCTGGAGTGCTAATAGATTCCACAGCTGGCCGTCTGGGTGGGGATTTCACAGGCGAGCGACTCCCATGTTTAAAACCTTAAATAAGGACAGGAGGGTTTTCATGCTGTAGATATGCATAAAGTTAAATCTGTATGTATTTTTCTGTTAAAAAAGCATGCACGATCTATCTGGGAATCAATGTATGTGGATGTTGCTCTGTGAATTTTTAGCCATGCTAGCGGTGTGGCAGGGTGGCCATGTTGGGCTGTCTGTCAGACTCAAATATCTCAACTTTTGGATGGATTGCCATCAAAACATCCATGGTCCCCTGAGAGTGAAGCCAAATAACTTTGGAGTTTCAGCTCATTGTTTATCCATCTAGCCCACAACTTGACTAATTTGGTTCACTCTAATCACTCAGTCTTGTTTTTGACCACAGCATGCAGCAGTTTTCCATGAAAAAAGCTCTAAAAACCCACTTTACACTACTAGCTCAGCGCCAGACGGCAGACAGACACAGTTAGTGACTAGCTGGTGAACATTTAGCAGCTAAAGAGCCAGATATTTCCCTTAGGAGTTGGTAGAGACCAAAAACTGTCGATGGTCTATTTAACACACATTACAGATAGAAATTGTAACATTACACAGCGGACAAATACGTTTTTTTTGACAAGCTAAAAAAAACCAACAATAATAATAATAATAATAATAATAATTATAATTATTATTATTATTATTATTATTATTATTATTATTATTATTATTATTAGTATTGTAATTATTATTGTTATTATTATTATTATTATTATTATTATTATTATTCGGTGCCACAATGCACCTTTTTGACTAGATCAAATAGCACTGAAGACAAAGAGAGTAAATTTTGAGCTTTTTGACTCGACTAATATAAACTGACTACAAATAGACAAAAGTCTCTTACTATAATGTACGGACGCAATTTACCTCGGTTACCAGAGCCAAGTTGAGGTTTTTGGGGAAAAACTTCTCTAAAGTGTGCAGGATCAGACTGAGCAAAGCTAACTGGAGGTACTGTAGGTGCTGGAGCTGAAGGAGGCCTTGTACTGACGTTAAAGGAAGTTGCAGAGATGAATCCAGGCTTCTGTTGCTCAGTACAGGCATCAACTCCAGCATCTCTGTAAGAAGACACAATGAGATGATTCTTCAAGTTTGTCACCATTTAAAAACAGTGTACAAAGTACAGAAGTACCTACAGACTGAATATAAAGAACGAAAATATAAAAAAAGGCCTCACCTTTTTAATTTTGTACCGACAAAGGTGGGGAAAACAATTGAGGAATCATCAGCAGGGATTAGAAATGATAGAATCTAGTGTTAGGGTAGGTGGGAAAAGTTCAGGCATGGCACTCCTTGGGGCTTGTTAGGACGGGAGACAGAGCTAGCGGCTGCACTCTGAGCCAGTCAACATTAAGAGAGTCGGACGAAGTTCGATGATTCTGCATTGTGGAGAGTGAATAAGCCTAATAGTCAGGGACGTTAAAAGACACATTTTTCAAGACGTTTTTGTCCACCTGTGCGGCCTTCCCACTTCCACCTAAGTGAGTTAATAGTGATTATTAAGATGGTTGAGGATACTTACTTTAGACCTAGCTCTGTTTTCAAAGGTTTGAGTTTTGATTGCCACTCATAGACTTGATCTGCAAATGATTTAGACAAAAAAGTTGAGTGAGTGACTGATGAAAATAAAAGCATGATGTCAAAGGAAAGCTTATCACTACTTAATCTGTCACACAAGCAACTGTTGAAATCATTCTTAATTTCACAACCAGGGACACATCATCACAATTACTTTTATTTGAAATCTGCCTGAGCAATGGAGTGCACACTCAAAGAAGTTCAAGTTCCTGTACGCACTAAACAAAAGACTCCCATGACTGTTTGTGTCACACTCACCTGAACAGCTGATGAGTGCAGCTACTGGTTTCATTATCTAGTCTCTAACAGCAATGCACTGACTGATCTTCAACTGCACATCTGTATGAAAGACTCAAATTATCGTAATATGTGTATGACATAAACTGTCTTCTGATAAATGCACAACCTCTTGTGTTGTTCATGGTCAATATGTGGTCCATATTAGCAAGCAACATAATTACTTTCCATGATAGAGAAACTTCTATCAAAAGACCATTTATATTAAAAACAAACAGTAATTGTGTTTCTGTCTGAAAAGCTACTGACTGCCAGGATGCATGCACATCCATCCGAAGAGAATGACAGTTCAACTATGAAAGTTCATTACAAGTGTATAGAGACAGAAATTAAAATGTCAGCATCCAACATTGAGTTACCATCATGCTAAATGCACTGGCTGAATAAATAGGGCAAAAATGACAAAAGGGCTTTGTTTTCTATGAATGCGTTCTAAGACAGACAGAGACAATGAGGGGGAGGTGGGGGTTGGATGTTGGCTGGATGTCAAATAATGGATCAAGAACAACTGAAATGAATTTAGCATTGCTTGCCTTTGGCGGTTGTGTGTACAGTTGTTGGCCTTGTGCGGTCTTTGTTGATGGCCTTCAGACATGGCGATTCCTTATTGTTTGTCTGGCTGGTGGATGGCTGTCCTGCCCAGTTTCCTGCTGGGTCTTGGCTGCATTTATCCTTTCTGAAACCGGGGCTGTCAGCTGAACTTGGCTCATCTCCAAACCTGCAGAGAGAGAAAGCCCTCACCATCAGTCTTAATAACAAAAGTCATTACAAAACCATACAGACTCTGTTCATGTCCACAAACAGTATACAGAGTGCACTACTCACCGTCTCTCTGCTGATCGAATGGTAAATGGGCGCTTGTTGTTGTTGTTGCAGTTTTCTTCTGCAAATTTCTTTCCAATGATTGTCCTGGCTCTGCTTTTCTCATCATCAGGACTCGGTGGGACCTTCGGCCTTCCTAAAACACTTGAAACCTCTGTGGGCTTCCTGTTACCTGTTGAGGCCTCTGTGACTGGTGGTGCAGCCTGGAAAAACCTCTGCCGGGCCGACTGCGTCTTCTGGGCTGAGGCTGTCCAGGACTTGGAAGGTGGAGTAGGACTGACTGGCTTCCTAACAATATCCAGTGGGGCTGAAAGCACAGAAGAGGGGCGTGGTGCAGACTGGGTCTGGCTGGCACTGTTCAATTGCCCAGCTGAACTGGTGGGTCCGTTTTTAAACCCAAGCTCAGAAGAGGAAGTTTTGCAACTGCTCTGGTTGCAGATAAAAGTGTCTGGATTCTTCCCAGGTTTGTAGCCTCCTGTGTAAAGCACGCTGTAGCATTCACTGCATCTGGCGGAAGTTTATTGACATAAAATTAAGAATGCAATAAACACAGTGCATGACAAGAAAGTGTCAATGAGTATAGATTTAATTCTTACTTGAAACAGCTTCTGTGATAGAGCTTGCCTTCGACAAAGTGCCTCTGAACCAGATGAACGTGACTCATGCATGCAACACATTTGCTATTGAGAGTCCCATTTTTGTTGGCGTTTTCTGCCAGAACCGTCTTCTGTGAAAGAAAACTAAAACTGAAGTAACATTTACTTAACCCACAGAAAAAAGATATGTCCTCTTTGTTTTTTAAAACAATAATAATAATAATCATCATTCATAATTTAAAATGTTTTTATTTTGTGTTCTGACATGAGTACTGACCTGAACAACAGCCCTGGCCAACTTGGGTGAGGGCTGAGCAGTGAGAGTGGAAGGTAAACGATTCTCAATGGCGGTTTTAGACACAAAGGTTTTGGCAACCACTGGGAGATTTTTCTTCTCTGATGGCTCCTCCTTGGAGCCCTCTGCTGGCCTTTTTACACCTCCCACTGAGGAAAAGTAAACACCTTTTAGTGTCAAACATCACACCCTTGCACAGGAAACAAAGAAGAAAACCTTATTATTCTTATTTGTTTGGAGCATGGACAACTCAATCTGAGCTATACAGTTTCTAAGGGTATTTGAACCAGCAATATTCTCACTGGGAGGCCGTCCTTTGAAGTAATTGTAGTACTGGGAGACGTAGGTAAGAATGCTCAGCCTGTCTGGAATCCTTAAGGCCACCATGTCTTCTGCATCTAACAAAGCTGGGATCCCCAACTTCTCCTCTGCGACCTGAAAAGCCTTGACAGGAAAAAAACAAATACGCAGTTTAACAAACAGCCATCAACTTCTGCCAAGAAAACATTTAATGGTAGTGTATGATGGACCAAGGAAACAAATTCAAAGCATTTTTGCTGTATAAAAACAGGGTATTCACTGGGCGCAGTAATGTCAGCTACAATTACAGCATGTGTAAAAATGTCAGACAATACAATCTCCTTTAAATAGAGCCACAGACTGCTACTTGGCCCAGAGAGGTCTGAAAAGGGCTGTATAATGAATAGTGCACTTCCTGTGAGCTCGTAAGGATAAGAAAAAGGATGGAGGGAGAAGGATATCGGGGCATTGTTTAGGATCAGCCTGGATATGCTCATTAAATTTAAAGCAAAGCCTTACTGAATACCAACTCTGTCAAAGTAAAAGAAAAACACTGAAAGCTAAAAACTAAAGCTGGTTTTGCTACGAAAACGTAGAGACAATGTCTTATTTAACAACTTGTGAAATAACCACCTGTAAGAAACATGACACTATTCATGAAATATAGAAGGGTGTGAATTACCACACTAGTCACATTCTCATCTTTCATTACAGGGAGCATCTTCAACACCTGATCAAAACTAAAACCTGATCAAAACACACTATTCTTTGGCGACATATGGTTCAAAGTTGTTCTTGTGTCACATTCAAGAAGTACACAGCAAAAGGGGCTTCAAGTGAACCGTCATCATGACGATCGAGTGGCAGATGACAGCCAGCCTCATTCAAAATGAATAACCCCGGAGAGCCTCTCCCCTGAGCTCAGGTTTGTTGCTGACACTGTCAGGATCATCCAAGACAGCAAAGGAAGTCGTACAGAGTGCATACTGTAGCACTCTGCAGGGCCTGTAATCCTCAGAGGAAGCCGGTAAAATGGAAGGAGACTAAATAATGTAGAGGTCCTGGCTGTGCTGCTCAGGTCATGTACAGGTTAACAAAATAAATGGGGTCAAGTGGACAGAAGCAGAGAAAAGATTCAGAATTTCTAAGTTTGAGAGGAGTCTAAAATTGGTAGTGTTGGGGTCTTTTGCTTAAACTGTGCTGTTAAAATGTTAAAACAGCTAACTATTTAACCAATCTTCCGCATAAATGCCAAGGCAAAAACAAATATAGTACATTTGCTGGATGTGTCTTCACATGTCCGGGGTTAATGAAGCAGATGTTTTATGCTACATCATATTTTGTTGTTCCAGTATGAAGTCAGTTCCACTCAATGTGACAAAGGTTCAACAACTTGACATCTTACCAGTCTGTTGTTCTCAAACACATCCTCCTTTTTGAGTGAGTCATAGTCTCTGGGAAAAACAGGAATACAATGAACAGAGAGAGGGAAGTTAGAACCTCATCATACTTAAGATCTTGACTCTGAGGAGTTCAACTATATGGGGAAAAAAAAGTTATATTGATGGAAGCAGCATATTTCTTATACATGGTGAGTTTCCCTAGAAATAAAATGTATACCAGCAGAACTAACACATATAACTAAAAAAAGGACCACTGAAAAAAACATGTATTAATTTTAGGAGAAAAATAATTAGGTCAATACTGAGTACCAAAAAAGGGTACATGGGTATGCCCTGTAGAAAACAAAACAAATATTGCATTTTGGACAGGCTGCCCCAGGACACATCACTGTTGTCAAAGCTAAGACTTCAAGTATTCCACCAAACCCCCGGCAAAAAAAAAAAATAAAAGTTAAATACTTACATCAGGTCCGGTCTGTACTTGTGTATGAGCGCACAAAAAGCCAATCCGTTTCTGAAAGAAGTCGTCATGTTGGTGATGGCCACATCTCGGTAGCCCTCACAATGCATTTTACACCACTGCTCCAAAGCCTTGATAGCCGCCATGCTCCTAGCGCGACACAGAAACCGTACACTCAGTACAGAGTAAGTGTGCAACAGGCAGAGGCTTTCAGTGTGGTGGAGCCGGAGGAAAGAGGGATAAAAACAAATGTCTCCGTTCAGGATTTGGCCGTGAACTGCGGCGCAGCAGCTGCGTCCTGTTTCCTTCTTTTACCTGAATGAGCGCCGAGTCTCCGGGACGAGCCGGTGGTGTGTGTTTCTGCGCTCATTACACTAATTGACACCGACTGCTGATTCGTCATTCACAACAGTTGAATAAAACCCTGCCATTAGGGTAAATAATAGTTTTTCTTGTGTTTAGAGTTCAGTTCTCAATCCCAAAAGTTAATTATGGAAACTGAATAAGAGCAGAATTCTGATCCCCAATCAGAATGTCAATCATACATTTTTGAAGTAGCCAAAAAAAAGAAGGTAAAATTACACATAGTCCACCCTGTATGCTTTATCCTTTACAATACCACTAATTCTTGACAGAGGCTGGAGTTGTCATTCCAAAATCCCTATAAAATGTTAAAGAGAGTATATTCAAATGTTACCTGAAGACAAAATGTTATATTTGTGCTTCTGGAATAGCCATCTTGATTTTGGGGAAATTAAATACAATTCAAATACAATGTCCATATGGTTAAATTCAAACTGGAAAGGAGCAAATGTCTCTCTACATTTTATTTTATCTTACGGTGGGGCTGTATTGTAATGCTGCTGTGCTTTTTTTTCTTTTTCCATATAGGTCAGGCCTATTTGAACATTTACAATATTTTCATGTAATGCCTCATAAAATTAATATTTGTTGAGTTGTATGCTCTAGGATTTATGAAGTATGGCAATTAAACAGCAGACTTGCTATCTGAGCCAGCACATCGGGGTCAGTGTGCAGTATGAGAACCAAGAACAGAGTCTGTGATGTGCTTTTTTTTTTTTACCTCAGTCATCTTTGTGTGGGGCCTAATTGGGGACTAATTGAGGCCAACTATTGTCATATAAGAATTCTGACCTAATTAGCCCATATTATGGTGTCCCACAAAATTTTAGGGAAAACTCAGAACTTGATTTCTCAGCAACTTTCACGTAGTAAACTGAATATGAAGAATTATACTCGTAAAGTTTGTAGAGAGATTTGTGAGAAAGCTTGAAGAGTCATTCCACCTAAACATAAAACAAAACAACTAAAATCTTCCAATGTGCTTTTCTGAAGTTTCACATTTGAGCCAGAGATCTCATCAGTGAGTTTTCAAAGCTCTGACATGGTAAAAGTAATTAGTGTGTGACCAGAGTTGAACTGACGTCTTTCACTGTAAGACATAAATTGTTTATTTGTCACAACAACAGGGTCTCCAACAAAATTAAACACATTAACACAGCTTTAAAAGTTTCACTATGGTCCACATAACTAATCAGAGATGTGTGACAGCAGTAAAAAGGAAACGTAGGCTATGTATTAGTTGGATTGTAAACACAAATACTGCATGTTGCCTTGTCTGAACTATCTCATCTGTCCTGTCTGAGGACATCTTCGTGTCCAGAAGGGGGCAGCCTCACACTGCACTCATAGAGGACAATCTCACCATGCCAAACTTGTTGTTGTTGTTGTCAAGGCATAAATAAAGCATGCAAATAAACAGTGCTAGTATAATTTCCATGTAGAAGTATATAGCAATTGGATTATGCCAGCACACAAATTATACAATGTGCGCATTCAGAACATTTGTGCATTTTTTTAAAATAGGTTTAACAAGGTGAAGTTCACCAATAAATCACTCGTATATAGCTCAGATTTATTTTGTCTGCAGTTTGAAGAAAGTTGAGATGGCTTTCATAACATGAATTTAGAAAACCAACAGTGTTTGCCGGACCAAACATAACAAAAAAACTAAAGTTATACATTATGTCACAGTTTGTGACTTCATACTTTATTTACCACAGCTGATGTTATCGTTTTATATTTGTTGGTCATTTAACTCCCTTAAAACGAGCCCTCAAATGTTCTTCTCTTTCAATTTTCACTAGTCTTTGTGTAATCTGTGTCACTATCAATGAAAATGAAAAAAAAAATCAGTATACTATGTCTTTGATGCAAATACTAGACATGCATCATCTATATAGACTCAGTTTTGATGATTTCATTTTTCAGCTATTTCCATTGTTTCCTGTGAGGACGTGTGGCTGCATGCAGACATCCTGCCTGTCTGAGAAAGTAACCGGAGAGGTCAGGGATGAGCTTGTCATTAATGAAATCATGTAGAAATTATCTTACTGTATCGCATTTCAGCTGTGCCCTGATAGACTGATACGATAAGGTGGCAGCATTTGTCATTTGTCACTGTTATCTGAACGGGCATACAGTCTGTGCCATTATTTGGTGTTGACAACCTAAACACTTCAAAGATGTGATAACAATCTCGTTCAGAAAGAGACATAAACAGCACATGCATGTGAGGTTAAGGAATGTCCAGACATTAACTGAAAATAATGTAGGGTATAGAAACTTTTTACAGTTCTACATATTTATAAAAATAGACTAAAAAGTGATACATGGAACCACCCAAACTTCCAAAGAAACTCTATTTAAACAAGAACATCCAGAAAATTATGTTAGTTGTAATATACCCTGAAAATGAAATTTAAAAAAGCAACCAGGTGACCATTTGCTTATAATTTTTTAGAACATTTTATACTGTAAAGAAAGCAAGAAATATTTAATGATGGCTAAAAAACAAAGCTCCTCATCCCAAAAAGGTTCAAAAAGCACACCTTTTTTTTTTTTTTTGGTTATGATTATCTGTACAAACAGGAAGAAGGAAGATGATCAATCATTGTGCATGGCATCAGCTTCCTGTGTTTGTGACTGTTTGTCGCTTCCTGACATGTTTACAGTGCTGTGGATCTCAGCCTCATGCTCTCTGGCTTTGGCCCTCAGCTTGGCGATGCTGCAGGAACGGAGCTCCTCTGAACTTGGCCCCTCCGGCCTCTCCCACTTCCCCGACCTCTGGGTCACAGGCTGCATACGTATGCTCAGCGCAGCACTCGCAGCATTTGTCCATGGATAGTTTTTATCTCCTTCCTGTCGTCTCTCGCACTGCTCGCCGTCAGAACTTTCTGTGTGCTGTTTTAAACTCGCTTTCTCAGACTTTTCATTATTGTCTCTGTTTACATAAGGCCCTGCAAGTTGGCCCTGGAGTTTCAGCTGTCGTCTCATCTTGGCACGGCGGTTTTGAAACCAAACCTGGAAAAAAATGAAGAAATACTAAATATAAATAATCAGAAAATATAGTATATAATATATTTTGCTGAAATTCTTTCAAAATTAGAAAAAAGTTTTTAATTTATTTTTTAATTTTTCATATTTAAGAGGGTAACTTCTGAATCTTGTTTTTTCAGCACTTTATTAAAGGATACATTTGTTCAAGTCAACTCACATGACTGTATGCACACAAAGAAATTAGTTGCTGTAGACATTCCCCAAAAATTTTAACCTCAGAAAATACCAACTTCATTTGACTGACCCAGACTGCTCAGGCCTCATATGGAACAAGTACTATAGTTTTTGACCCCCATCTCTTACAGTATAGACATCAGGAATCTCTTCACAGTCAGTACAAACAGGAGGAAAAAGTACAGAAACCAATGTGCAGGTCTGTGAGTGTTGTTTTCAGACAGACTCCAAAGATGTGAACCTAACCAAGCTATACTACATTAATATTGGTACTTTGAGATCTTGAATAGAACTGAATAGAGAAATAGGTCTGTGAATTTAAATAATGTCTGTCAACACAAGCTGGTAGTGATGGACCTGCAAAAGAGTCTGTAGGGCTAAATAGATTAATTTACACACTGTACAGAAAAATTAATGGTATTTGAAGGAGTATGAAATGAACATTTCCAGGAGGAGTTCAGTGTGCCAATTACCTGTACTCTGGCTTCGATGAGGTCCAGTCTGACGGCCAGGGCTTCCCTCATGAAGATGTCTGGGTAGTGGGTGGTCTCAAAGGCCTTCTCCAGCTCCTCCAGCTGCCAGCTGCTGTAGTTGGCTCGTGCACGACGCTGCTTCACTGGCCTCTGTTCATCTGGAAAGCACAGCGCAAGCACCAATTACACAATCGCCAACGGGTGACAACGAACTAATGGCTCTAGATTGGATAATTAGCGCAGAAATCATTAGGCCCACTTTAACACTGCTTGATAATTGATTGTTAGTTACGAGCTGTTAGCTAATCTTTTGTAAACATTTACACTGCAATCAGATGGTACTCACTGACTGTCTTAGAAACTGTGGTCATACAGTGCCAGTTTGGCTGTGCACTATCGGCACAAGTCCTGTATCATACAATCAGTCCCTTTTTGGCCACAGCAACCGTGGTTTGAACTCACCTATACCATCTGTGAGTGGCCCCATCCCAACCGCCTGTGTGGCCAGGAGCAAAGCTTCCTTGCATGGCTCTGGCTGCAAATAATTCCTCAAGGATTCATAGCTGATAAAGGGCCCCGGGATCAGGATCTGAGGTTGAGAGCCCAGTCTGGTTGGGAATGCAGGGAAAAAGTGAGCTGCAGGTGAATGGAAAACTGCAGGCAGGAGAGTAGATACCAGCTGCCTTGGGCCAAACATATCCAAGATATTAAGAGTCCAATATTAAGTGTCAGTCCACTGAAAAGGGCCAGATTGACTCCTATAGGGATGCTGGTGGATTGGTGAAATGCATCCCAATATCCTGTGTAAAAAAAGTATATAAAATAAATGATGATTGTCCACCAGATGTATCCAGTTGGTTGTTAGAGCTGCTGTATGTGGATGAGGTGCTCAGCTTCAGGTGTTGCCTGAAGAATAAAGGTAGGACTTGAGTAGTAGAGGTTGTCTCACCTTAGCTTTCTGCTCTTCTCCTCCAATCCTCCCCACCTCCTTTCCCGGTCACATGACCTCCAAACAGACAGCAGGGCTTGGTTTATAGCGGAGAGGTGAAAATCCAACCTGTGATTCATCTCTCAGTGGATTATCAGTATTACTCCAGTGTGTGCTGTATTCGTCATTTCTTTCCCAACCACATACTGTATGTCCTACAATCTGTTTCTTACATTTTAGTGAAAGGCTATGTTTTTTTTTTCTCTCTCTCTGCCTACCTGGGACAAGTTGCAACATCTATGGCTTCTGAAATTTCAATCAGTGAGATGGACAGGAGCTCAGTGTGTAAAAACTCATATGTGAATATGTGTACGTATATCCATTTAAACACGTCTACCTTAACAATTTGCACAACTCTTATCTGACTGGTTAAACAGCTGTCAATATAATAAGAACAAATTACTGCAATGGAGACATAATGAAAACACAAGTTGTTCATTCCTGAGGGATGAAAACAAGCACAGGGGCAGCAGACCCTGAACAGCAGGTTCCAGGATAAACACACTCTTCCTGACAACAAAGTGACAAACCTGAAAGCTCATTTGCTCAATGTTTTTAATCCCTCCTAGCAACCCAGTGTTTACGCTATTGTGGATTTAATTTTATTGTTTTTTTTCTTAAGTTGACGTTTTATTTTCCACATCACCAAGACAAGCTGCAGAAATTATCATGTCTGTCAATCTTCATAGCAGCCAACTTAATGGGTAGTAGCAGTGTATGCAAATCCCTTCTTTACAATTACAGTAGAAATCCACTAATGAAATATTAAACAAGGTAAACCAGGTGCAGTAAAAACTTGACACTAACAAACAACTAAATTATTGTACTACAATAGTACAAATGTGATTTTAATCCTCATAAGACCTCCTCAAACATTTATACTGATTAATGCATTTTATTTCCTTTTTGCAAAAAATGTGAAAAAGCATCCCATTTAAAATGCAAATACTTTCAACTGTAGCTGTCAAATAAACGTTATATTAAAATGACGAGAAAATCCTGTAAAATAGAATAATGCAAGGAAGCCCCAGTTTGTACCTCTCATGTATTAGCATTAGTGTTACATTCAAGTCAAGCATCAGTTTCTCTAAAAGATATCGCAAAGGAAAACAAAGGATGTTCAGCCTCCTCTAAGACTGTCCTGGACCATCTGGATTTTAAAAACTCTCTGAAGTAGTCACTGGCTACCATACCAACAGAATTGCAACTTGAGAAAGTTGATTTTTTCAGCCACATGATCTGATCAGATATCTTGTCAAAGACCTTCTGGGTTTTTCCGACTGTTAATTGTCTTTCAGAGAAACTTTAGTTAGCACTGTGACTTACATGTAATGCTAATAGATGAGAGGCACAACCTGGGAATGCCCAAGTGTGTACTTCAGCACAGGCCTGAGGTAAAAGGTAAACAGTCAATTCAAACACCTCAGTTTTCTGTGCCGTTTGATTGTTTGTTTTTCAGCGGGATTACAGAAAAAACGACTAGCCCAATTTCCATAAACTTTGTGGAAGGGTGTAGTATGGGCAAAGGAAGACCCCATTCAATTTTGGAGCAGATTCGAATCATAGGACGGATACTCAGACTACAGATGGGTAACAATTTAAAAGAAAAACCAACACAAAAACCTCTTATAGGGTTCAATGACCCCTTGTGTCTTGTATGAAAGCATTTGGATCATCCATCTGTACTTTTTCATTTTAGTTAACATTGTGAGAGAGGTAAATTGTAACACTGGTGTCTATTAACTAAATTCATTGCGCATTACGCAAAATTGTCGTATTTAAAGAGAATGGAGTGCCGTGACCTAACATAAAATCTGCCTCAAACATCACTGTAGAAACATAACAGTGTAGCAGAGGTCTGAGCTCTCTGAGTACATTTCTAGTTGAACTTATGATTTGTGCCAAACTTACCTGGAATACCTCTCTTTGATATTTGGTAACATGCTAGAGTCTCCTTCAACCTTCACTCCCACATGTTCTTGCTTGTTATTCATGTTATAACCTGTGTTTAATAACCCATATACTGCAATAATTAGTGATATACTACTTACCATCGTTGTAAAGTATGTCGACAGTAGTGAGTGTTGCCGAATACTTTTTGGATTTTTCCATCTCAGATCAAAGCATACACATCAACACATTAACAGCCGAGACAGGAAGATTATTAACACTTTTTTTCTTTGAGCAAGGCAGCTGTAGCTTAGTGTTGATGGATCTCTGATGAGATGATCACCAGCACTGTCTATGTGAATTAAACACAGGTGTGTCAATTAATCCGAAGATACATATCACCTAACAACACATCTTGCTAACTGCTCATCAGCTCAGTCTGCGGTGAAAACATTCAGCTGTCAGTGTTGTCACCGCTGCTGAACTGGCGGGCTAAGGCGGCTTTGATCAGCCCAGGACCTCTGCAGGAGGCAGCTGGTCAGAACTGAGGTGAGTCACAGGATGGTCATTCGTCTGCAAGCAGCAAGCACTGCAACGCCCTCACCTGTGGCCCTTTCATCTGCACCTGTTTAAACACTAAATTAATGCCTTAGTGCAGGCAATAAGGGGGTCAGTATTTGGGTTGAACTGATGCTGATGTTGGATTTATTTAAAGCTCATGTTGAGACTGAAAGCCGATATTTTGTTTCATTTCTTTCTGTTAAAAAATATTCACACATTATTTTATTACTGACTTTGTGAAATAAAATCTCTTTAATAGCATTAAGAACATTATGGGTCACTTGAACTCCCCAGTGAGAAGTGAAAAAATTGTTTTTGCACTTTTAATACAACTCGTCTATAATTACCTCAAAATACATATTAAAAAGGTGAAAAGGTATGTTGAATTAATAATATAAATAATTCAGGCTCTACATTGCTTTAAAGGTGTAATCAGGGAGAACCACTCCAATGGTGGATGACATAACCAGCCGATTAAAAACAACTTTTAGCACTTCAGTCAGTGTGTGTGCGTGAACGTGTGTGTGAAAAAACAGACAGAGATTGAAAGAAATAATTTCTTGGGTTTGCAAGTTCTGTGGGGGGAAGCAAAATAGATTAAAAGTGTCTAGTTTGAGCTGTGGCTAAATAAACACTGTGTGCGGTGGGACTGAGGACTGAATAGCCATCTCCGTTTGTCCCTGGCACACAGGTAGTTACAGGGATTTCTGGTCTGTTTGAAAGTAGACCCCCTTCTTCCACCCCCTCAAACTACTGTGTTTGTCTTTGCCTGGGTCCTTTAATGCCCATTGATCCAGATAATCAGGGACAAAATTGGTGAAAAACCGGTGGGGGAGGTTCTGACAGTAGTAGCTCAAAAGAGCTGCTTGTGGATAATTGAAGGAGGCATTAAGACAACAATAGTAATGGCTAATGCCAGGCCTTATTGGCCTCTCAGGTATTTCTTGCTCCCTGGATGACAAGGAAACACTGGAGATCCACAGCTAAAATGGCAATCATTGTATCATTAGCAGACCTTAAACAGCAGGGACAGAATGTGCTTTATCTGTGGGTTTAGAAAGCCCCCAATCGGATGCCCTTCAGATGGCTTTGAAATGGACTCGTTCGAGCTTGCATGCATTCATTGCAAAGTAAAGGGAAAGGAACATCTGAAATCTGCCTTAAATGTGAGTTTTTGGAGCTCGGAAAACATGATGATTCTCAAATTTGAAAACACCAGTGTGTGGGATTTAGAGGCATCTGGTGGTGAAGTTGCAGACTGGAACTAACTGAATACCGCTCACCTTCCAAGCGTGTAGAAGGAACTGTGGTGGTGAATGGCAGTAAAAGAGGACCCCCTCCTTTTCTAGATAAAAACCGCTCATTCTAAGGTTATGGAAACACAACAATTCTTATCAATGAAAACATACCTATGAATATTATACTCCCTTTCTGCCAATAGATCTTCGTAAATGTTATGCACTTGACCTTCAAATTCCTCCTCTACCTTATTGTTACTTCACTTGGATATTTTGACCTTCGCTGTGCAGAATAATGTGCAGAGTTTGACAAAAGAAGACTGCTTTCAGATTTCCCTGATGAAGAAGGAAAGTTTCTTCATGCTTACATCTGAGTTTAAGATGTGTACATACAAGCATCATTTTGTGACACCACAATTAGTTTGGAAGCCGATAGTGATCCAATGTGCAACTTATACAAGTGTGATGTGGAAACTTGAAGCCTCCCATATAATTTATTTGTGGAAAAACCATTTTGACCACAAATTATCACAGGTATTAACAGCTGAATATTTTTGTTTTAAAACATTAATGATTTTTTGGCTACTTGGGGGCAGCGGAAACAAAGTTAGAACACAACATTGACATATCACCTTTTATGGGAAACATTTTAGCAAACAACCACTCATCAAGCATAAACAGCGCTACTCATTTGGAGTTGTGTCTGCTGTCTGGTGCTGAGCAGGGAGTGTTCAATGGGTTTTTAGAGCTTTTTCACTGAAAACAGTGGTGTGGCCAAAAAACAAGGCTGTGAGTGCAGTGAGAGTGAACCAAAACAATAACAATTATAGCCTCTTTAAAGGGATGGGAATAATGATCAGAATACTCAAAAACAAATATAACTTTAATTGTGCATAACATATCCCACAAATCTTTCACAACTCATGGTATTTTTTTTGCAGAAAAAAACTTTCAATGAGTTGAAATTTGAATTAAATGATGCGGAGTATTTGGCTTTTTTCCTTGATAGACATGGCTGAAGTGGATTAACTATAACACTCTCTGCCCTCAGTGTGATAAGATACGATCTAATATAATGGAGATCGTGAACACTGCACATTATTATTCTTTCTCATCCACTACAATGGCACTTGAGCTCATAAAACAAGAGTTCTGCCAAATGTCATGCGAAGATGGATGATTATCGTCAGCTCCACTGTCATGGGAATATATCTATCTG